TGCTTAGGACTTCTTCTTTATCCCTAAAAGTCCAGTTCGACTATATTTCGACCGACGGCAGTTTGCCGGACATTCCTAGACTCTCGGGTCACCGTTCGTCAGACCATTCTTTTTATAGTCGACTTGACGTCCCGGGGTTGAGGTTTTTTCCACAAGAATACTGCGTGGGTATTCACCGGTGACCGGTCAGACTGGTCTTCCCTCATCGGGTGATCGGAGGCGGAGGAGCCTCGCGAAGAGTGGGGGGCCAGAGCACAGGAGCGGAGGAGGTCGTGTCATGGCGGGTACGATGCGAAACATGGCCCTTCTTAGGGGGGTGAGGCTGTTATGCCCTTTACATGATTTGTTTTTTAATGGTTTTGCTACTACCAACGTGGTGGGCGACATGCCATGGGCCACCTTGCCTGTCACAGTTACATTCCGGGCAGGTGAAAGTGATGAGGCAACTGTAGATCCTGATGTGTACATCCAGAAAGCTATCAGTGCCTGTAAGCAGGCATGCGCCGACGCCGGCAAAAATGGGAAAAGAGGGTTCAGGCGTGTATCCCCATTGGCCCATCCCGGCAAGGGTGGTGCGACAGCTTGAACGAGATAGGACGCCTGTCATGGGGATTGTCTGCCATGCAAGGCATGTCCGGAACGAAGATGCCTTAACGAGCAGGTGTGTGCTAGAAGGAATGAACTCAAAGCAGCACAAGGAGAGCACCCATGCCACCATGAAGGACAACCTGATCGATGTCACTGGCTGGCGAGTACATTGAGCAACACGGGGTGGACGAGGTGCTTGCACTCTTTGGCGCGGGCATTGCCCAGCTCAAGGAACACAATGCAGGCACGGGTATGCTTGAAACATACTGCATTGATCGGTTTGGAAGGGCCGGCCGAAACAGGGCATCTACCCTCGCTGGAGTCATACTACATGATTCCCTCGAGGCAAGTATATCGCGGCTGCACGGTGTGTCAATAGGCACATACCCCTCAGGAGGCTCAAGGATCTACTCAATGTATCAGCTCCATGTTGCGACAAAGGGGAGGGGAGAGTACTGGTATGCTGAGATACCTGTTGGAATCTCAGTCATGGAGAGGCAGCCTACTCCAAAGCCCTTCAACTACCAGTTGACAAGAACGTTGCCCTACCAGGCCCTCCTGGCAAACTCATATAGAGCCGGCTCGCTGCACAGCAGCAAATCCACCACACATGACACACTGATCACAGTCATACTTATGCCTCAGCCACCAACCGGTCAGGCTGACCTCCAACTCGGCTCAAGTGTGCCGCACGCGCCCCTGGCGCTCGGAATCATGGAAGGGATGAACATCCTGCAGCAAAATGCACACCACCAGGAGTCGAATGCAGTGCTGGGGAGCCAGGAGCAGGCAGAGCAAAGTGCGCCCGCTGTATTCTGCCCCCCTGCTACAAGCAAGCCCACTGTACCCGGGCATGGGCTGCGGCGCGTAGGAGACCGGACAGAGGACGAACTCTTTGGTGCATAGCAGCACAGTCTGTACTCGCAGAGTCAATTGTGGCCATGATGAAGTGGGCAAACAGTGGGAAGCAAGACATTATCAGCACGGGACGCCTAGAACAGCAGAGGATCAGGATCTCAAGGCCGATCGAGATCGGTGCAGGAGCAGGTGACTGGGAGGCACAGCGTGATTTTGATGTGAGTGAGTGAGTGGGTGGGTGGGTGGGTGAGTGGGTGAGGGAGTGAGCGAGCGAGCGAGCGTGCATGTGAGAGTGAGAGTGAAAGTGAGAGAGTGAGTGTGGATGAGAGAGAGTGTGAGTGAGGGTGAGTGAGTGTGAGCGCGAATGTGAGTGTGAGTGAGTGTGAGTGTGCGTGAAGAGTGAGTGTGAGTGTGAGTGAAGAGTGAGTGTGGGTGTGAGCAAGTGTGAGTGAATGAGAGTGAGAGTGAGGGGAGCCCAAGTTCTCAGCAGGTTAGCTTGGGGTATGCGAACTGTGGCACTGTCTTAGGTAGAAAACATGTTTGTCCATCAGAGGCCATGCTAATCCAGTTGTATTAGCATTCGTGAAACACCTGAACGGCAAGAAAGCATTCCTCACCACACAACTCAGTTGTTCAATCTGAAAGGATGTCCACCTCCAATCAAACACCGCAAACCCTGTCGCCTGTGACTCATAAACATGAATGGTATAATACCATAACCCACCGCCTACATCACCACTACCCCAGAATGCAAAACCTTGTAAAGCCAAAACCATGTGACACCAGCCATGATTTCATCCAACATTACCCAAGAAGGCCTATACCTGGTAGTAGCAACACTGCTTTTCCCGAAACAGTGTGGACACACTAGGGGTTCTTACGGTAAGGGAAAAGCAGCTGATGCTTAGATCGCTGAAACGGCTCATTCGTTGCTATTTCAGTACAATCCTACCCTGCCGCTAGGTAGTGAATTCTGACCTGTTTGATGGATTTGTTTGCCACACGCCCTTCCATGAGATGTGAAACTCCATTAATTGTTGACACCACCTTTTCAGAGAATTGGCAGCAGTTCCAATGGTTTTTGTCATTCGGTGTTTGCACCGCCCATTCCGCTGCTTGGGCGCAGCCCATGCCGGGCTCGGCGCATTGGGCCACCGGTTCGTTCACCGGGAGGCCGGAACGCGTTCGGCGCACCGAGGCGGCTCGAAGAGAGGCGGCTCGAGGGTCCTCAGGCACGACGAGGGGGGTGCTGAGATCCTGGGTTCGGAGGCGACGAGGGGACTGAGAACCACAACCCCATTCAACCCTACACAAAAAACAGGGAGGGGAAGCACTGGAAGCCCATAGGGTTTGTCGTATGACCCGTAGCAGTCGGTAAACCATTATAAGCAATTATCACTGATCATGATTCTAGAGAAAGGCCTTTACCTATCATCATCATCATCATCATCATCATCATCATCATCATCATCATCATCATCATCATCATCATC